ACAGGCATTCTTCCAAGTAGCCGCTCTAAGCAAGCGTCATCTTCACATGACTGATGGAGGGGGACGGAAGGCACAAGTGCAAGTGGCTGGGAGAAGGCCACTCTCAAGGAAGAAGGTCAAAGGGCACTCTGCAGGCCCTAGAGGAAGGGCTCAGGCATACCCAGGTAGGCATCACGAACCACCTGGCAAGGCTGGTCTCAACATTCTAGTCAGAAGTCTTCAGCAGGCACATAGGGGGCCTGAAGGAATGCCCAGCCAGTTCCAGCACCAAGACTGATAGCTCAGGCTTCCTAAGAGAAGGAGTTGCTTTTGAGCCCTGCTTCTCTCCCTGGCCCTTAAGAAATAGGGCCAGGGTTTGAAGGCCAAAGGAGAAGAATCATTCAAACAGCAGAGACATTTGCACTTCAAAGACAACTACCCTCTGTGTAGCACCTCTCTGTATATATACAGGCTACTACCCACAACCACTACCTTCTTTAACTCTCCCACAACCCTGAGGTGGAAATTATCAGCCCCATTTTATAGATAAAGAAACTGAGGCTCAGTGAGGGCACATGAGTTGATCAAAGTCACACAGCTAGGACTCCAATTTGAAACCTCCCAGCTCCAAATTCCATGCCTCCCTTCCATGCAGACCTGACCATGCTGCCTACAGCACCTAACATATATTGGTTGCTCAGTAAAAACTGGATGAATCTCAATTGAATGCCCGAGTCCTATACACCATCTCTTAGACAAGATCCCCCACTTCTTCCTCCTTAGGCAGACTCCAAGGCAGAAAGACACTGGGGTTCGAAACAGCGATCAGACTATCAATCCCCAGAGGGAAAGTGGGGGAGGGTGGGGGTAAGGGGAAGAGATCAACTGAAGAACTTGTATGCATGCACATAAGCCAAACCAATGGATACGGACAACAGGGGGATGAGAGCATGAGTGGGGAGGGGGGGAAGTTGGGGGTTAATGGGGGGATGAGGACACATTTGTAATACCTTAACCAATAAAGAAATTAAAGATTAAAAATAAAAAAGAAAACTAGCAAACTATGATGAAGGTTGTAGGGGAAACTCATGTATCAGCACATTAAAAGTTGAAGTTTCTCTTTGAAAAAAAAAAAAAAGACACGGGTTCAGTGTGGGAGAAAATGCACCACGAGGAAACAGAGTCTGCATCAACATGGGGGTGGGGTGGGGTCTTGACCCTGTTGAGAAGGCCTCCAACCTCAGAGGAGGAGGCTGGGCCTGGCCCCCCGGCTGACCTCGCAATCTCTCAAGGGCTCGGAGGGCACAGCAGCAGAGGACCCACTCACCTTCGGGGATGGCATCCTCCTGGTACACAGGCCGCAGCAGCTGCAAGGCAAAGACAGGAGAACCACCTCAGCCCCAGGCGCAGGGCAGGACAACCCGGCAGGCTGCTCGCCCCAGCCTGGCGATGGGAAGGGAACACCTCGGGGCACTAGGGAAAACGGCAACCCTGCTACCAAGCTGAGAGGGGGCTTGGGAATAAGTCCAGAAACCTCCAGAATCTTAGAGGTGAACAGGCTATAGCTGTCAACAAGTCTAACCCCTGGGCCAAGTCCCCACCTTCCTTGAAGGCAGCTTGTTCCAAAAAATGTTCCATGGAACATTGGCACTGAGCGATGCTAACAACCCTGCCACAGGGTGCGCCCCAGGGGGGTCTGGGAAATGCTGAGTGAAACAAGGTTAAGCCACCGTCTCTAGTGCGGGACCACTGGGACAGGCTCCAATGGGCTAGTATGCACTGGGATAGTACTCAAACTTATTTGACTTCAGAACACTTTTCCCCAAAAAATATCTCATGGGGGTAATGTTTTGGGGCGCACACTCCATCATCCCACCCTGCCATCCTGTACTGTCTGCTTTCACACCTTTTATAACTGGGGACTCCCCCCACCACCACCCACAGCAGCCCATCCCATTGTGGGAACGTGCAGGCTGGCACAAAGCTCTTCCTTCTTCTGAGGAGCAATCTTCTACCTTGTGACATCCCCTGGGTCTGTGTCTATGTCCTGAGCCCACAGAGGCCCACCTGCTCTCCACACCCAGGACAGCCCTGCAGCCGCGGAGCTAACACACACTCCCATCCCCTTGCAGGCTCCTCCCCACATAATGTTGAGTCTTTTCCTGGCCTCACCCAGGGACCCATGCCCTTCACCTTCCCCGAACCAGCTGTCCATACCTGGCTCCCAGGGTTCAGCGGGGCCAGGATGATGTAGTTGGGGTCGGTGGGGGCAGTGGCACGGGACAGCGCCGGCAGGGTATGCTGGCCCCCGCGCTTGGCCACCTCGGTGTAGCGCTCCCAGCCTCCGAGCAGCAGCCCATCGGAGCTGTCACATACCAGGTGGCAGCTGTGGCGCTGCTCAGGCCGAGCCTGGGCCCCATGGGCGCAGTTCTTCTCCCGCTTGTTGGGGGGCAACTGGAGGTCATGCGCCGACTTGCAGGACGCCCGCCGCAGGACCCCGCCATCCGGGCCTGGCTTGACTTGGGGGACCAGGCGCCACACGAGCAGGATGATCTCACTGGGGCAGCTCCTGGAAACAGAGAAGTTGAGTCTGGGGGAGACCAGAGTCCGCTGGGGCCAGGGCCTGCAGGGGCAGAGAGGAAGAGTAGGGCAGGGGGAGAAGCCCCTAACGTCAGGGCAGGAAGGGGGACAAGAGACCATGTGAAACAGAGAGGGCATAGGGTTCCCTTAGGACAACCCTAACGGACTGGCAGAGGCTGAGAAGGGTGCTGAGGCCAAGGCCAGGTTAAACAAGAAAGAGTATCAAATTCAATGAGTGACGTCTGTGGGCAACATATACGCCAGGAGGAGCAAGCAAACACCTGCGTGCGTCCATTCATCCAGTCACTTTAGAAGCAGGCCCGCGATGGGCCATGAGGGTTCTACCCCAGCCGGCCAAAATTTAGAGGGCCCAAACATTATCAAGAGTTGTTTTTTTTTTTAATTGGGCATTTGACACATTTGCAACATCTACACACCCTTTAAAACAATGGGCTTAGCTGTGAGGTAGCAGAAATAATTAGCTCAAGTAGAAAGCCACCTCCTGGAACCAGAGGGTTGGTTTGAGAGCTCCTTCCCTGCTGTTTGAGCCCTGAACCTTCCATTTGCAGGCTGAGAAACCGATTCCCTGAGGGGCAGAGTGAATTGCTGACGGCTGGGCAAAGGAGGGAAGGATAAGGCCCCGTGCCAGGGCTGGGGAGGGGAGGCGTGCCACCAGCCGGGCCTCAGGCAGCCCCCGGCCCCTCTCACCGGATCTCGTGGGCCAGCTCCACGCATTTCCAGTGCTCCACGGGCCTCTCGTTCAGCTGTAGCACAGTGTCCAGCTGCTGCAGCCCTGCCCTGTCTGCCGGGCCCCCTGCAGGGACAAAGAAAGGACACTCAAGGGCTCCTCAAGCCCACAACCCACTGGAAGGACCTGGGGTCCTTTGCTTCCCCAGTGACCCAGGACAAGGACTGCCGCTCTGTTTCTTCATCCGTGAAAGGAGGGGCCGACCTTGGCGGCTCCCAGGGACCCCAGAGGAACATACCCTTCACCTGTTCACACTTCTCTGCTTCCAGCCAGTCCCACCCCACTCCCCAGGGCCTCCCACCCCCTGAGGGCCCTTCTTTGGTACCAGGCTCACACACTTCATTCATTCCTTCAGCATCAAGTGCCAACCTCGTGCCCGACCCCATGCAGGCACTGGGGTCACCCAGACCACCGAGCATTGGCTTCTCCTCCGGAGATGCTCACGCTGTGATTAGGAGAAATCTTTTCTTTATGGAAAATAGGAAGGGGATGCCTGTGTTTCAGTGCTACTCAGGCTTGGCATAGGATAAAATGCCAATTCCTAAACAGAGTTCAGAAATGACTCCTTTTCCCATGCAGCCATTATTGAAAGTATAGGTTTAGTTCCTGTTTGAAATGCCTGGGAAGCCAAAATATAAAAATCTATTTTCATTTTGATAAAGACACACAGACAAAAAAGAGCGGGCCTATTTTCATAAACCTCAATTTTCTCTGTGGTCATTTGAAAATATTATTCTTTTCGTTTTGAAAGACGAGGCCACATGTTGCTCCACTCTGGGGCTCCCCTTACAGTCCACGGTCTTGTTTGCACAGCCCACATGCGCGGCGGGAGAATGGGGCTGCATCACCCAAGACACTCACTTACCTGAATCCACCGCCTGGACGCGGACCGGAGAGTCACAGCAGATGGTGAAGCCGAAGCCATCCTTCCCCCTCGGGATGGTGATCTAGGACACAGCCCGGCCCAGTTACTCCCAGGGGCCGACCCAGGGTCAGGACGCCCACAGGCCCCACCCCAGAGCCACCCTCCTCTCTCACTGGAGCCAAAGAGGAGACTGGCCAGCCTCTCACCGTCCCTGTCTCGGTCCAGGCCTCTTGACCACTGGGTTGTGGGCCAAGCAGGAAAGCTGGGAGCTCAGGCCGATGCGGAGGCTGGGATGGAGAGAGCCTTGAAAGGGCAAACCTCGCCTTCCTCGGCCCAGCTGACATGCAGCCCTTTCCCAAAGGCCCACTGGACCTGCACATCTGCACTTGGCCTGTGAGCCACTGCCTGCTTGGTCCCTTTCTCCTCCCCAGAAACAAAGCCAACCTGGTCGCTGCCTTCCCAGAGAACAGGAGGAGGAAGGCAGGGACACATACACGCACACCCTCAAGTCAAAGGTCACAGGGCAAGTGCTGGGGTTCTCAGGGCCGTCCATCGCCAGAACTCGAGGCATCCAACGAGGGCTCCCAGGTGAGGGGGCAGGTGAGGACATAGTCAGGCCTCCCCGCTGAACCCGCACTGGCCACTGACCTCACTGTGCCTGCTGAGGCCCGTGTGCCCATGTGCAGGGCAGCTCCACAAGCCCTCCCTTTAGAAGCCCCCCCGGAAGGGTTGTGCCATCCGATGCTCTTTACAAGGCATTCAGTTCCTGCTGCGTGCCGGGCTCTGCTGAGGTACGGAAGCATGAGGCCTGGGTCTCTGGCTCCCAGAGAGACATGAGGGCACACAAGTCTTTCTGAAGCAAAGCAGGACATGACAAGCATTATAGCAAAACATGAAGGCCGCGCTGGGAATGGCTCTCTGTGCTTGGCTTCACGCACCACAGGAACGCAGCAAGTGCTAAGTTAATGAGGACAGCCCAGCAGCACCCCACTGGCAGTGGGGAGCTGGGGGGCTGGCGGGGGCGGGGGGGTGCAATACAGTCTGCTGACTCAATTCAGTTCAGTCTTGCTGTGCTCCCCCTCTATTTTCCCCCAATTAGGCTTTGGGCGGAGTGCAGAAGGCCCAGCCTGGCCCACCCAAAAGTGATTCCAAGCTGCTGGGAACAGGTGCATGAAAGCAACAGAAGACAGGTTCAAGGGGGCTCCAAGAGACCCCCTGGAAGTGGATGGAGTGGGCCCTGGCGAGGCACAGGGAGGGTGTCCCAGGCAGGCTGGGAAAGAAGCCAGCTCAGCAAGCCTGGAAAGGTCAGGGCTGCCCGCCTGTCAGGAGATTCTCTTCAAGGCTAGGTGCCTGGCATTCACCTGCCAGCTGTCGCCAAGGTCAGGCGTGAGGAAGGGGAGGGCCAGGGGCCCAGGGTGACCAAGGCGCTTGGAAGCTGCCAGGAGGCCCCAGAGGCTCTGCTTCCCACCAGCCCTGGGACTGGATTCAAAGCAGAGTTTTTAAAACAGGAAATCTGACAGACAAGGGGAGGGGGGAGGGGGCAGGAAAATACCCTGTTCCCATAAGAATTCTGGGAAAACACGCAGCTAAGACAGGAAGAGAAAAAAATGGAAAGAAAGAAAGAAAAACAAACGCTGGAGTAAGTGCGGAAAGCCAGGCCGAGGCTGAGGGAAGCTGTCAGGAGCCTGGTCCACTCCACACGACCAGGGATCCTCGGGGCCTGGCGACTCACCCTCAACCCAGGCGGAAGCTGGGATTCCAAAGTCTTGCCAGCACTTCCCTCGTCCTACCCCACAAGGCCCGCAGCCCCTCTGGCCTCGGCGCAGGCTCTGGAAACAGGTCCTAGCCCCCTGTTTCAGGCACGGTGCTGACAATTAGGGACTGGCTGCGGAGTGGAGTCTGGAGTTGAACTGTGTGCTCCAGCAAAACAGCCTCCCACATCCACACCCTGGTCTCCTCATCCAGGTGGCACCGTGGACTGGAGCGCCTTCTGCCTTCCTGGGCACCGGCCTAAGAAGAGCCAGCCGGGTCCCTGGTCCAAACAGCTGGGGGGTGGGGAAGGCTGGGAAGAGGAGAGGGGATGAGGAAGCAAAGGGTGGGACCGAGGGAAGGAAACAGCATTATTCTCTGGCCATCGTGAGCACTGGCCACGCTGAAAAGACGGGGCTCAAAGAACCTGAGCCTCACTGCAGCCCTGAGTGGAAGGCAGGGCCGGTTTAAAGAGAAAGAAAGTGAAGCCTCCCGCTCTCGGTCCTCCTCTCTGACCTCAGGCCTTGGGGTCAGGAGGTGAGGAGAGCAGCCCCGCCCTGACTCCGGGACCTCAGTGGTGGCTCCTGACAGAGGCCGTCCCTCCTGGGGGTGGTCCTTGCTCTTTCCTGTCTGGGGCAGGAACTGCCACTGCTCCTGGATCTCTCCCGTCGCCGCACCTCCCCTCTGCCCTCCTGCCTGGTTTCTGGGCTCTTCCACGCCTAGACTTCATCTCCAGCTGCCCCACTCGTGGACTGTACCAGGTGCCTTGGCAGGCGCTACACACAACACTCCATTTATCCTCCCAGCGTCATCCCTGGGCATTAGCATCCCTTTCCACCGACGGGGAGACTGAGACTCGGGGAAGAAAAGTGACGTGCTCAGGGCCACAGCTGAAGAACAGCAGAGCTGGACTTGAGCCCGGGTCTGACAAAAAGCTGGTGCTCTCAATATAGCACTGGTTCCTAGCGCAGGCTTGTCTTGAACTTGAGCCCCAGAGCCCCAGGCCCAGCCCCACACTCATGCCTGGCCCCATTGTGACTGCAAGGTGCCTGTAGTCCCAAGGTGACCAAGGACTTCTTGACCTCCCATCCAGTGCCCTCGCGGCCTCACCACTCTGCCACCCCGGTGTGGCAGGGGCCACTCTGCCTGGCTCCAGGAGGGTGGGAGGGCAGGGTGGGGCCGTGCAGGGAGGGAGGACTGAAGGGAGAACCTGTGGGTCTCTGGCTGTGGGGCCGCTGTGCAGGAGACCCCTCTGGGCATCTCCCTTGGACCTAAGGCTGCCTGTCCCAAGGAGTCAAGACCCAGGTTTCAGTCTGTGCATTAAAACACACAGAGGGACTTTTCTGTACTTACACAATCAGAACCATTTCTTAGCTCCCATTCCCAAAATCTGGACATCCCTTGCCTGCACCCTCACTGAGCCCATGGCTTTTTTTTTTTATATAAGGGAAAATGTCCATCACAGAAGAGGCTCAGAGACTAACGGATCCTCGCTCCCACTCTGCCCTACGTCCTAAAACTGGAGGCTGAGAGGCTAGACCAGCTGTGGGCAAACTACGGCCCGCGGGCCGGATCCGGCCCGTTTGAAATAAATAAAACTAAAAAAAAAAAGACCGTACCCTTTTATGTAATGATGTTTACTTTGAATTTATATTAGTTCACACAAACACTCCATCCATGCTTTTGTTCCGGCCCTCCGGTCCAGTTTAAGAACCCATTGTGGCCCTCAAGTCAAAAAGTTTGCCCACCCCTGGGCTAGACCCTCTCGGTGAACTTGGGCTCCAGAGCCAGAGGACTCTGGATCCGCCTCAAGGTATCAGTGGGGAGGAAAATCATGTGTGCATGTCCATGGGTGAGCGTGTACGAGAAAAATCACATGTCCGTACAGAAACAGAAACATCCTATCTCACATGCAAGCGCGCACTGACTCAGGCAGAAACAGTCACACAATCACACACACGCGCACACAATGCAGGACAGGCACTGCTGTCCCATCGGAAGTAGGGAAAGTTCGAAAAAATACAAAGTTAGCAAAAAAAAAACCCACAAACCCCGGCTGCTCAGCAACTTAGCCACTTGCATTCTCAGGCTCGGGGCACTTTTTTAACAACCACGCTGCCACAAAATAAGAAAACAGAAAATCAATCAATAATCCCACGAGGGACACCACCCAGCCACTGGTTAGGACAACACAGAGCTGGACCCCATCGGCCCCTAGAGAGAGGGGCAGTGGGCGAAGGCTGGGTCTCAGGTCCAGCTCCTGCCTCTGTCCTCCCCTTAAATCAAAACGAACCTGCAAGGCGCAGGAGGGGACAAGGACGGCCACGAGGGGAGAGAAGTCCTGCTAGGCTAAGCCCCCAACCCTGACCCCCAGTGACACCCCATGCCGCCCCTCAAAGGGCCGAGCACCCACCTGGCGGTAGCGGCGCTCCGAGCACACCTTGCAGAGCCCGTTGAAGCGGTTCATGGCTGCAGGTCCTGCTCCGCTGCTGCCCCATGAAAACCCAGCTCTCCCCCCAGCAGTAGGAGCCCGCACTGCGCCCCGTCAGCCTGGCATGACCGCCCTGGGAAGCCCGCCCCGCAGAAGAATGGCAGGAAATCACCTCTCACCTCCCCAGGCCCTGTCTGTGCTGTGTGCCTCTGCATGATAAGCCCGAAGGCTTCCTGAAACCTCAGAATGACAAGGAAGAGGGAGAGTTTTATATTAAAATTCCTGTCAACTAGTTAGTATTCCCCGGGCCCAGCGGGGAGAGGGCGCCTTTGTTCTGGCTGCATTCTCCGCCGTGGGCCACTTGGTGATTCCAGTGTTCTCACAAACACCCCTGGCCACAGGAGAGTCCGGGCAGAAAACACGGCCCACTCTCTACCAGTGCTGCCTCTCCCTGCAAATCCCAGGGTCCCCCACCCCCCGCAAATCCAGGGGACCAACCCAGCCTACGGAATCGAAGCCCGGCTCAGGGGGTTGCGCCCTCAGACGTACCGGCTCACCACAGGGAACATGAAACATTTGGAGTCTGAGGACCTGCCTGCCACTCAGCAGCTACTTAAAAGCCAGCTTCCTCATCCTTGTAAGTGGGCTGCTTTCAGGTCTGATTAGCCCATAAAGGCAAATTGGGGAGGGTTTCCAATCACCAGATGGTCCAGCCTCCGCATTTTACCCATGAAGAAGCGGAGGCCTGGAGCAGTCAAGGTCACACAGCTGGGTAGCAAGGAGCAGGGACCAAAACTCCATTCTCGTTCCCTGTCCTGTAGCACAGCACCTGGTGAGCCTACACCCGCCTCAGCGTCCCTGGGGAAACCCCGACCCACCCACATCCTTGATGCCAGAGAGTGTCCCTTCATCCAGCCCAGCTTTGGTTGTCATGACAGCGGACAGGTCACCCAGGTTTCTGGGCCTCCATCTCCCCATCCACACAATGGACAAGTTGAACAGGTGACTTTGGGAGGGGCGGGGGCTCTCGCCCACCCCAACAAAGCCTCCAACAACCATGCCCCCTTGGCTGAGTCCTACAGACAACTTCGGGGGTGCAAGCCCAGGAAAATCAAATGCGCCTCAGAACAATGCGCCCTGGGCCCAAGGCCTGTGCACAGAAGCAGGGCCTTCCCAAGCCACCTGGAAGCCTGCAGTGTGGGTGTCCCTGTGGCCCCCACAGATCACCAGCGAGGCTCCCTGCTCACTGTCCTCTGTGACCACAAGTACGGAGAGAGGGAGAGAGGTCATTGCAGGTCCCCCACTGCAGCTAGAAGACAGTTTTAAACGACTAAGAAAGCCACATAAAAAACAGTAACTGACCAGTTCCTCTAACACAGTGCTATCCAATACAGCAGCAACTACATACATGTGCAAGGTGAATTTAAATTAAATAAATGTCAGGACCTCGGTCAGACTAGTCACATTTCAGGGGCTCAATAGCCACAGGCAGGGAGTGGCTGGCTACCATATTGGAAAGCATGGCTGTAGGTTGTCCGCTCCATGAGAGCAGGGACATCTCTGAACCGTACACATCTGTAAGACAGGGAAGTGACAACCCCCTCGGAGGTGGGAGTCGGGATTAAATTCAACAACAACAGCACCTGGCACGCGGGGCTACTCAGTCTCTGGGAGTTTGTTTCTCCCTCTCTAAGTTACTGAAGACACCCATGGATCACCTGCCATGTTCTGCCAAGAGACGGAATGAATTTGGGGGAATTCTCCCATCCCTACGTGAAGGCTCCCCCCTAGATGCAAAGCCCTGATGGAGCGAGAACCATCGGTCTCAGGGTGAGACACTCGACTGCTCCTTGACACCGAGCAGCCCTAACCTGAGAGGCCAATTGGGCCTCAGTTCCAGGGAAAGTAAGGCGTGTGAGGAGACCTGTGGGGAAAGGAGGACTCGGCTTCAAGAGGCTGAAAGTCAAGAAGATCCGGATTCCTCCATTTCCAGGGCCAGGGCCTGGCTCTCCCCAAGCACGAGTAACCAGAGAGGAGCGTCAGAAACAATCCCTTAAAAATGCACACTTGCTGAGTTTCCGGGCACCAAGTGCTGCCCTGTTTAGGAGTCTCCTGGGCCAAGGGACTGACCAAGAGCAGGTTCGAACCCAGAGCAATGCTCAGGCCCATGAGTCCAACCCCGGCGTGTCTCCACCTACCTTAAGTTCTTCCCCGTCCTCAGTGTCCCCACCTCCTGGCATTCTCAGCAGCGGGTCTGGAAGGCAACAGAGCAGCATCAGACAGTGTCTGCTGGCATATAAGCGTCCGTCCCATAGACCACCCAGAGGCCCAGGCCAGAGTGCCAGGCCCACGTGGCGGCCCAGGTCACTCCTGGCCTCCAGGATGTGGGGATGCCTGAGCTCGGGTCGGGCAGGAGCTCGGGAGCCATGACTATGTATGGGAGGGACAGAACAGAGGAAATGCAAAATCCACGTCCTGAACCTCAGGACTCATGGCCAGGCCCGCGGGCCCTGTCCACAGAGGTGAGTTAGCAAGGCAGCTGGAGAGGATCCTGAGACCACTGGCCCTGGCAAGGGGCCATGTAGGAAGCTCCTGAAGCCACCCTCCCTGAGCTAGGGGTGGGACCGAACCACATGGGATCAGGCCTATAACCCTACCCAAGTCCAACCAGATACATGAAGGTACATGGGTAAGAGGCTACCTGCTGCCCACATACTAGCAGGGGTTCGAGAGAAGTCCCTGGGCCCATGGTCTGATCATAGCTGGGATGACATCTGCCACAAAACACAGGCATTGATGCTACTACCCAGAAAGGGAATGGGGAGGTCAGGGGGGGAGAGGGGAGTGTGGCAGCACATCTGGGCAGAAGCTGAGGTGGTGTGCATATACCTCTCAGGGGTCGCAGTCGCCGCCTAGCCACCTTCAGGTGCTTGGTCCGGCCCAGGTCCTCCCCCAGAAGGTAGTACCAACCACTGATCTCCTGTCACAAGAGAAGACATGACACACTCAGAGGAGGCAGAGGGCACAGGTCAGGCAGCCACCAATACCCCTCACAGAGCAGCAGCACTTCTGCAGAGATGGACACTCTGGCCTCTCCGCCCCTAAAGAACTGTCGTGACTACACCTCCAGGAAGCCTTCCCTGATGCAATGAACAGAGCTGGTCCTCCCTTCTGCTGAATTCCCACAGTCTTTTCCCCTGAAGCACAGTCTACTTGCATGCCTACCTCCCCCACTAAGCTGTGAACAGGCTCACTGATGTGCCTAGCACTGTGCCTGGTATACAGTAGGAGCCCAATAAATGTTGACAGAAGGGAGGGAATGAGGGATGGAGGGAGATGCCAGAAAGTAGGCATCCTGAGGCTCCTGTGCAGTCTCCAGGGCGGAACATCTTCTCCCAACAGGGAACGAAGCCCAGGTTGCAGTCAAGACACTTGGGACCCACATACAGGATGAAGGGTCCTCAGCCACCTACCCAAGACCTCACTGCCAGGACACTAAGCTGGGTGACAGGGCCACCTGGCAACGTCGTGTGGCAGGCCATCAGGACATCACCAGGGATGTACAAAAGGAGCATGTCCCTCTCCTGCTCAAAAGCCTCCAGTTTGGGGGTGCAGTGCAGAGTAGAGATGGATGAGGGGCTAGCTACCCAGGGGAGAGGTCTCTAGACCCCAAAGAGTCCTCACCCAGCCAGGAGGATAGCTCCATGGAGGATGTTCACTCCACCCTGGTACCTGCTTGGCCCAAAAACACAAGACCTGGTAGGTGACATCACGGTGATCCCTGGAGCATCCCGTAAGTACCTGGCCCTCCTCCTCCAGGGAAGCACCAGGAGTGCTCTGAGCTTCAAGGGACCTACCAGTGTCCTTAATGGCAGACACCAGGACCCGAGTCTCTGGGAGGACTTGGGGGCTCCTAACAACTGCTCTCTGACCAAAATAAATCAAGAAGGGACCCAAACCCTTGGCACATAGATGACAAACACAGTATTGTTATCCAGGCCACAGGGCACCTAACACAGAAAGAAGCCCTGCCCAAAGGCTTCCAGACAAAGCAACTGGTCCTCGGTGGGATGACCCTGCCAGAAGCTTCCCTAGGACTCACCTTGTCTGGAGTCAGGAGAGACCTCACCCCGAAGCTCATGCAGCCGATGAGTCCACTCTGTCTGGGAGAACAACAGAGGCTTAAGTCAGCACCTTTTCCCTGGGGTATTTCAGGAAATCGATTATCAAGTGTAACGTGGGTTTGTCGGATGCACTGCAGTTTACATCATCTCATTTGACCTTTCCAACTCTCATGAGTTAGGCTGGAGAAAAGTTATTTGTCCATTTCACAGATGAAAAAACTGAGGCTCAAAGTTGGTCCTCTTCCAAGGTCACTGGACTAATTAGTAGCAGTGTCCCGTGGGAAAGCCAGGTGTTCCAGGTCGAGGGGCAGCACTCCCTCCATCAGCCACAGAAGCTCAGAGCTACTTCGCAGGTTTTAACTGTTCTGGTGCCAGTAGATCCAAAGAATTGGTCCCCGCAGGAAATTTCAGCTTCCATATTGGCTGATGATGCTCGATTGAGGACAAAGGTTATGAGACCTCAAGCTCAAGAAGCTCTGTCTCAGGTCCAGGCAAGACCTGAGCAGATCTTGGACAGTTTCAGATCAAGATCAAAGGCAACAGGAAAGTCCACGAGAACAACCTGACCTGGTGGCCGGGGGGGACAAGTAGGCGTGAACCAGGGTCAGGCCTCATGGGGATGTCACTGTGGCAAAAGGCTGAGTTCAGGCGGGTCCTTCTTGGCTAAGAGTCATTCAAAGTTCCTTGAAGACTGTCCACTATTGATTGATACTGATTGATACTTGGCAGCTTTCAATAATGATGGCATAGATGAACACTAATGAAATGCAAACAATAACCTCGCTACTGCGAGAGAAAAGGAAATTCACAAATCTGTCGTTTAATGAGGAAAACGCCCACCAAAATATTCACAATGGTTGTTAATGAGGAACACCCACGAAAATTAATAATGATTGTATCTGGTAGGCGGGATTAGTGGAGGTTTTGTTTTCTTTGGGTTTTCAGTGTTTTCCAATTTTCATAGGGAACAAGCAGTACTTTTATAATCAGAAAAAAAAAATAGTATAAAGGTATTGGCAAGTACTTCTATTCTACCACATCGTTCTTTATCCTAACACTAGAGTTGCTTTTTAATTTTTCTATTCTCTCTCCTAGCACATCCCCAACTCAGACTCCTTCCGATTGGTTTACTATTAATCGGGAAACAACATGGGCATTTAGACTGGAGCATAGCCCTGGTGGTTGACGTCAATGTCTGAAAGACCCACACAGATCCAGCATGTTCTGTGGAAGGCACAATAGCAGAGCCAAGATGGCATGAGCTCCCAGATGGGCAGTGAACTCCCTCGAGATGGGCCTCCCTGGAACCTGGCCTAAGGGGGCCTGAGCGAGGTTGGTGGCTATAGCCAGGGGTGCACCACAGAACCCCCTGAAGTGCCTGCCCACATCATATGCCCCAGAGTCTGCTCCCGGAGACCCAGACCCAGCCGTCTCAGGCAGGGTCCAGGCATGTGAGTCTAGAGAAAGCACCTACCGGTGCCTGCCCCAGTCAAGGACCCGTGGTCTAGAAGGCCTCTAGAAATGCTATTATTTGCATTCTCCGGAAAGGGTGGCAGCTCACCACCTAACAGTGCTAAGCAAAGTAAAACTGGCTTCTTGCGGGTAACCCAGCCAAGTGAGGGGCGGAGATTCAGAATGCGGGGGCCTGGTCCTCAGACCGGCGAGCCTGCCCTGCAAATTCTGCACCTGGCTGGGTCCCTCCGGCTACTCTTACCTGGCTATGCCCCCTGCTCTCACTCCCTGCCCCCATTTCCTGCAGCCTGGACTCCACCTGTCCTCCCCTCTCCCTTGCCCCCCCGCACCCATCATACGAGGCCATATCGATAATCCACCCAAAGAGGACAGGGTGATCACCCCAGCAAAGCGACCCTTCCACCTTCCCCTCCCCAGCCCACCACCAAAAACAAATACTCCTCCCTCCTGGCAAGTGGCCAAGGCAGCACTAACGGGGAGAGGCAGCTGCAGGGACCATCACAAGCGCAGATGCTGATCTGAGCTGCAATGGCACAGAAGCCTTGTCGAGACTTTGCCAAAGTCCTCATCACCAATTTAATTCTGTTTGTCAACACATGCAAGAGCAGGCCAGCTGGCACCTAGGTGCCCACACGTTTCTCCCACACTGGGCATGGCTGTAACTTTCTAAGCCTCCGGGCACAGCGCTCCAGCTGTAACGAAGGCTGCCTCTCCCTGCTCTTCGGTAAGTTCAGTTTTCATTCCCCTGTGCTTGGAGAATGCTAAATGGTTAATAGCCTCCTATGAGCGTTGCTTCCTGCTAAGGGGCCTCCAATGATTTCATGATAATTCAGGCAGAGTAAATGGTCACAATTCATGTCCATTAGCAGCACCCTCCCTCTGAGTGTTCTTCAACTGGGCACTTCTGAAACCTGCTTTTGAAAAATCTTTGGAGGAAGAAAGACTTCTTTTGCACGTCACCCGAGTGCACAGCAATAGACCGGTCAGCTTGTAAAATTGGGAACGAATATGCACCCTGGACTGCCTGAAGTTTTGCTTAAGCACAAAGTCCCAGGAGCCAAGCCTTGGTGACTTCTGGATGCCAAACCTTGAGTTCAGGGTTTGGTGCACTCCGTGAAGGCTTGACAAGTGCATGAATCCATTATGCCCATGGTTGGTAGGCACTGGGCAAGGAGCCACGGCATTAATAAGGCAAACATGCAGGAATTTAAATAGCTCAGGACAGCAACACAGGGATGTCACTAGGCAGGGCGAGATGGACAGATGAACAGTGCAGGCAACAAATGATGAAAGCTCAGGAGGCAAGAGGTGGTTTAGGGCTAAGGTGCTCGAAGAAGGCCCAAAGAGTGAAGCCAGAGAGAGTGAGAGGGAGAGCATTTCAGGCAGAGGGAACGTTCAACACGAAGGCTCAGAGGTAAGGCTTCACGAGCACTCACGGGGAAGAGTACTTGGCTCCGTTTACTTTTGAGCCTAAAGTAGGAAACGTCTGCAAGGCAAAAGGCATTGCTATTTTGAGGGAATGCACTTTAATTCCATCTCAGGGACCTTGAACTATTTCTGTGGCAGGGTTACTCCATCTAATCTCAATTTATTTTTAAGTTGATGGGTTAAATCGAACGCATCTTCCCATTCATTATTTCTTTCCTTCGGCTCAGTCCCCATCTCTGGTCACAAGCTCCCTAACATGACAGCACTGTCCTCGGCACTGAGGTCCTGTTTATGAAAGGAGATTCAAGGAGAGAGCACATGCAGAGTACCCATGACCATGTGACACGGAGCAAGCAGGCTCTCCATAAATGTCGGTGCTACTAACATAAACGATTATGTCCTTCAGGCTTATGTGCGTGCTGCTGCTGCTGCTGTTTTTAACTTGGTGCATAACATTACAAATCTAAGCTTGTTCTCTGGCCCCAAGTTCTGAAAATGCTATGACCAGAGCTTCCATTTGGCTTTTACCATATCACCCAACAAAACTTTTAAAGAGCTCAGTTCCACAGTCAGTGATATTAAGGAATTACTGTCAGTTTTAAAACGTGATAATGGCATTGTGGGTTTCTTTTTTTTTTTTAAGCCATCTTTTATAAAGATATAGAGATGAGAGGAGATGATGTCTGGGATTTGCTTTACAATAATCCACTGGAAGAGGGGAAAGTGGGTGGGGCCACAGATGAAACAAGACTAGCCATGTATTGACGATTGACGAAGCTGGGCTAAGCATATGAGGGTTTATGCTATGATATTTTCTACCCTTTCATATGTTTGAAATTGTCTACACCTTCTTAAAAACTCACAGAACCTGAAAGCTGAAAGTCACCTTAGAGGTCGGTGCATTTTACAGACGAGGAAACTGAGGCCCGAAGCAGGGAAAGGACTTACCACGGTCTCACAGCAAGTCTGAGCGAGGCCAAAATCTAGTGTTCTGAGCCAGTTCTCCTCCGCTCCCACTGTGGTCACCATGAAGAGTGGAAATCAGCCAGCCCCCCCCCCCACCAGAACGTTTTTGCAGATCATCTTGTTTCCCTAATACAAGTTTATAGTCCTCACTGGAAAGACCGTGAGAATTAATGAAATTGGTGCTTCCCTTTTATCTCCTATCATTTGCAAAATGTAACTGCCACACATTCAGCTGGATGGCATATAAAACAACGGTATAAATGCTATGGAAAGTACATGTGTTCCTCCGGGGCCTGAGGAACACATGTACTGACACAGAAAAAGTATGGTTTTGGAGTCATTCATCACCTGTGTGAGACTGTCAAGTGTCCTATAATGTGGCTACCAATATATGAGTTTGGCACCAGACTGCCTGGACTTGCATGTTATTTTCATCACATCCTAGCTGTGTTATCTTAGGCAAGTTACTTAACCTCTCTGGGCTCTGTTTCCACACCTGTGAAGGAGCAACCGTAATATCTACCTTATATGGTGTTATGAGGATTAAATTAAATAATGCATGGAATATGTTTAGATTAATGTCCGCGAGGAGTGGACCTTAGGTGCTTAATAAACATGAGCTGTGATATGTCCTGAGCCTGCAGAAGCCTCACTTTCCTCTTCTCTGAAAAGAGGGACAATAATAATTCCTACCTCTCAGGGTTGCTATGAGGATTAAATGAGATAATGTATGTAAAGTGCTCGGCACAGAGAAGAGTTCAATCAATGTTTGTTTCCTTCCTCCTGTAATTGTCTTTCATGTTGGTAAGTTGAAGGTCCGTCCTTCAGAGAAGCACAATTTGATTTGAGAGCGTGGAGCAGGGCAGGAGTTTCCTGCCATCGCTCTGTCTGCCTCCTCCCACTCAGAAGCCTCCTGGGTCAGATGATGGATCAATACTGCGCCTCCTACCGGCCGAGCCCTGAGCCCTGAGCCCTGAGCCGTGGCTTGGTGCTGGCAGCTTTGTTCAGCAGGGCCCTCTGTTCCGAAACACAGGCCTGTCTGAGCCCGCTCTGTCCCTCTTGAGCTTTGGGTTGGGACTGTGACCACAAGTTCAACTGTGTTTTGTTAATAAGGAATCTCACTTTCCCAAAATAGGCAACAAGTGGAGACACTCACTGCCTCTGTCACGCTGTCATGCTGACTCACTCTCCGGCCTCACCTTCTTTTCCAAAAACTGTGAGCTGCGCTGCTGACGTCTCCAGCAGCCCTCAGGCTTGCCCTGTTCTCCCAAGGGGGTGGCTCACAGTGGGGGGAGTGACAGCTCCCAGTGGGGGGGCTGCCTCCAGCACCTGCTCCACTCCTTGCCTCCACCCAGTGGGCTTGCCACATGTTTCTCTGACCCCCTCCTCTGTCGCTTCCGGGCTTCCCCTTCAAGACAGGATTCTGACCCTTGGTCCTGGGCACTCACTTTCTTCCTGGGCATCTGACCTGCTCAGAATTTCACCCACCACCTCGGTGGTCATGGCTTTCACCTGCGCGCATGGGCACAGACCTCCCTCTCCCCTGAGCCTCAGGAGAACAAAGGCAGCTCTCCTCGCAGCCCTCCGCTGGCTGCTGTCCACGCACCGCCATCTCACCATATCCAGAGCTGGCTCCCTTCCCCTCCAGGACACTCCGGCTTAGTCGGGGACACCACCCCACACCCAGGAGTCATCCCTGACTTCTCCCACCTGCTCTCACGCCCAAATCACCAGTAAGTACTATCAGTTTATCTCCTAACTATGTCCTGGGTCTCTTTCCCGTCCCTCTATCCCTAAATCATCTCTCTCACCAATCACCAGAAGAATCTCCTGGTTCCTCCCCAACCTTCCTGAGATCTACCGGAATGATAGATCTAGAACGCACATCTGTCATCCCCTTGCTCAACACCCTTCGGTCCATCCCCATTGCCAGATTACCAAACACCAAGCCGGCTGCATGAGGTTCTCCCCGGGAGCTTTGTAAATGCAGATTCCTAGGCCCCGCCCATGAAGATTCAGATATGACACCTGGGAATCTGTGTTCCTCACAAGCATCCCAGGTGATTCTGATATATATTCAGGATGGAGAACCACTGGCCCTTGGGAGAAAACCTAGAGATTCATCAGATTGGGCTTTCGACTACTTCTTCACCTTATCTCTAGCCGGTCCCTACTTTGTACTTGACCTTCCAGCAAGACCAATGAGTTTGTAGATCCGTCCACGGTCCTGCCCTGCCCCCTCCCCTCTACACTCCACTGGTTCTTTCTTCTGTCCTTTTACTTGAGCATCCAGGAAGCAATATAGTGTTGAGAGTGAGGACTCTGGGTCTAACTGCCTGGGTTCCCATCCTGGCTCTACTGTTCAATGGCTGTATGACCTTGGGCAAGTTACTTCCTTCTTAGCTTCAGTCTCCTCTTCTGAACACTTAAGATAAAAAATGTACTCCCTTTAGAGTCATTTTATGAATTAAATGAGGTAATACACTATTAACACCTGTCTTGTGGTCAACACCCAGTAAATGGTTGCTCCTATCTTCAAGGTGACGTCCTCCTCCTCACCCACACCCCCAAGTCTCTGTCAGTGATCCTCTGGGGAGCAGGATGGTCTCTGATCAACCCCATGTGTCCCCAGAACCTATGACAATGTTACCACATTGGTACCCAGGAAATGGCAGCTCAATGAAGGAGGCCTACAGCACCATGAGCTCCATTCCATGACTTAAAAAAAATAGGTGCTCTATTAAAAGACAAATCCTTCCTTATGAAGGTTGAATAAGGCTCAACTTTAGAAAGCATACTAGCTATAAAATTTAGGGTACCAAAAAGGATTCAACCTGAAAATATGTTCTGGGCCTCAGAAGGTGAGTTGAGCTCATTTTCATTCACCCTAGACCCTTTTTTGGTCACCATTTGGTTCTATGATTGTTTGACAAATGTTACTGGCCACAGGGTCTCCCAGATTTCTTAGGCTGCACCAGGTGAATGAGCCCCTGCCACTCCCGGTCGGCCATGACCATCAGTCAAGTGCTCTCACCCCCTTTCCTCCACAGCGATCCTCACCCTCCTGTACCCAGAACTCCTCCCCTGCTCTATACTAAACGCTATCACTAATGACTGGCCTCAAGCGTCCTGCAAGATCAGCCTGTTTGGAATCTCCTACACAAAATTTCCGCATCTCCTAAACTGGCCTCCGCATGGCTGCCTGAGCCCACCACGCATATTCCTGCCTCCTTGCCTTTGCTCATGCTGTGCCCCTGCCTGGAATACCCTTTCCAACCTTCTCTCCTTGTCCTATTCTTGATCTCCGCCCCAAGTTCAAAATCCCCCTTTCTGCATGAAGGCTTCCTTGACCACCTCAGCCTACAATGAACTCTCCCTCTGCCCACATTGACTGTCCTATTACTCATTTCATTCTTTTATTCATTGAACCAATAGTCACTAGACTTCTATATGCCAGGCACGTGGTACAGTGAGTGCGTAAAAGAGAAATGGGCCCATTTTTCATGGAGCTTCTACTCCTGTGGGACCGAGCCTGTGCATGCTGTCACTGTAATTTGTCTCCTGGTGTCTCTTACTGAAAGGAGGTGTCTTGAGAGCAGAAAGTAGGCAGGTTGGCATCCCTGGAGGCCAACACAGTGTCTTGCTGATACCAAGGGCACAGCAAATGCTCTCTGATAACACGATCCTTGGCATCACCTGGAGTGACGGGGACTTGGTGGTCCATTTAGCTTTGCCACTGCTGTTCACTCATCCACTAGCTGAGCCCCTGTTGTATGCTGGCCACCTGGCTGCCACCCACAGGCCCAGAGCAGGCTCTCTCCTCCAGCTCGGCAGTTCCCCTCACCTGGAGTCACCTGCCCTGTTCCACACCGCGACCAGGAGGCGCTTCTGTTCGTCTTCCTCTTGGACAGGACTGCAAAGCAAAGCAGAAGGCCAGAGTGTTTGTAGAGTGGAGCTCCAGACCAGACCCCATGGAGTCCAACACAATTGCAAAATTTGGAAATAACGTACACCTCCAACATGAGGAGCTGTTTGAAAAACTCAAGCACAGATAGTGTGGGAAGTGAGTATTGACATACATAAAAGAGTTTGCATTATGTTATTAAGGACAGAAGAGAGGTTCCCACATAATATTATAGAACAATTCAATTTTTATAAACACACACACACACACACACACACACACACACATACACACACAGACATACACCCCCTCCCCACAAATTCAAACATCTGAAAAGAAATAAATCAAGACCTATCAGTGAGTAGTAGGGCTGGAAGGATTTTTCTCTTTTCTCCTTTTTGTTTATCTATAATTGCTACTTTTCTATAATAAGCAAAATTACCTTGTGACATTTGAAAAACACAAAAAATATTATTAATTTGCACTAACAGAAAAATCCAAAATGTCTATTATCTTCCCATTGGCTACTGAGTCCAGGCATCGAGGAAAGAAATAATAGCGACAACACTCAGTGTTACTGTCTCATCTACACCTCAGCTTTCTCAGGTTGGCACTATTATTGGCCCCATTTTACAAATAAGGAAGCCAGGGCTCAGAGAGGTTAGCAAGTTTTTCAAGGACGGGGGGTAGGCAAAACATCCCTCAGCTCGGAAAATTCCTTCTGCTAAAGGAGAAAGCTTGGCCCGAGGCACAGTGGGAAGTCGCCTTCTCCTCAGGGGCTGCCAGTCTCGGGCTGGGCATTTGAATTATGAGAACCAGCCAAGGGAGACCTTATCACTGAGGACCTCACGGCCGGGCCAGGTGCCAGGGATGCAAGGACACAGGGAATGAGAAAACAAAGACATCCTTTAGAAGTCACTGTTTTTCTGCTGAGATCTAGTTCTAGATTTGGCAGACAGAGCCGTTTCCAGATAAGCACTCCTTCCCGCTCCCGTCGAGGGCCCGGCAGCACCAGATTCTTACAAGAAGAAGTGCTCTTGGAAGACGGGGTCTCTGGAGTCCGGAATGGTCTGTGTCTTCTGGCAGCACAGCCCCTGGTCTTCGGGGATCAAAGAAATCTTGAATTGGAGAAAAGGAAGCATTAGGTGATTACTTGTGGCCATACGGTTGCCTGAGCCCAGAGGCTGGCTCTGCACATCTGCAGTCGAAGGCTTCCCAGTGTCCTTCTCACCAGCCTCTGCAGAGGACGCGGTGGCATCCTCAGTCAGATGCTGGGGTAGAATGAGGAGCCCCAGGCCAGCGGTGGAATCAGACACCTCTGACTCCAGGGCCCCATAGTGGGTGGTAGCAAGAAGGCAGCCAGAGGCCCAGCCAGGGATGGGGGACAACTGGACCATCTCTGCTCTTCCTCCAAGCAGAGAGGTTGCCCCCAAAGCACAGGCTTCCTCTCTCCTAAGTTCCCAGCAGCGGCTGAGTTCTCCCTTCACAAGAGGCTCCAGGTTACTCTGCCAAGGCCCCCGATCCATGCTCTCACCCTAATGCATTCACCCCCTGCCTCGGGCTCCCACCCTGCTCCTGACCGAGTCCTTGCCCACAGGGACCTCTGACCAGCGTGGCATCGAGGCTGCCACCTTCTGGGAGGCATCTGGCCTTTGGCTCTGGCTAGTCGTTCCCCCACCCCATGGGGCCTCTCTCTCGTTGCAAGAGACCCACTCGGAGGCACTCCCTCCACTCCACCACCCAGATCTGGCCATCTTGCCTCCGGTTCGGGGGAGGAGAGGGGTGAAGATACCGCTTTTCATGAGAGGGCTTGAGATCATCTGGATTTCTGCCATCCACATGCTCACTGCGCTCACCTGTGTGGGTGACCAAGATCACCCTGAAGATTCTCACTCTTGCAGGACGCCCTAGGGACCAAGCCAGGCTAAGGGAAGAGGTCTATCCTAGCTCAGGGCTTCACCCCTGAGCAAAATAAATGCCTACTGACCAAATGAGGCGGCAGTCACTGTTACCTCAAATGGCCCCAGGCCCACAGATGTGCCGGGACCTTGAGACTCAGTCCGGTAGCATGGCCCCTGACCACCCCCAGCCCCATCCACACCCACCCCGACCTCCATTTACCTTCACGTAGGGATCACAGATGCCAGGCGCTTTGCTCATCAGACCTTTGCCTTCCATGACTAAACAGAGAATTAAAATGTCGGAGTGGGTGAGTGGGAAAGATTATTACCAGGCCCTTAATGCATAGAACCACCATTGGATATTAACCCCTCTCTGGTCTAGTCCACTCCCACCATCTCGCACCCTCAGGCAGCACCCCCAGCGAGGCAGTATAGGGTGCATTCAATCCCCTGATTCTGACAGCTGGAAGGGAACAAAATTTATTGAGTCCAACCCCCATTGAAAGGGGAAGATGAGGCTGTGAGGGGAGCCCACAGACAGCAAGAAACGTGTTCAAAATCACAGAGCAATGGGGTGACAGATCCATGTTTCTTAATTCCTAGGCCAGTGGTTCCTCCCACCACACAAGACTGTGTCCTGGGAACGGAGGGGCTACGCTGGAGAGTACACTGCACAGTGATCTGTGCTGTGGCTGACGAACAGTATAGCACAACAGGCAAAAGACTGGGTCCAGAGGGAGACAGGCCTGAGGATGACCCCAGCCTGGCCACTTACTAGCCATGTCAGCCCAAGCAAGTAGCTTCACCTCGCTAAGAATGAATTCGCCATTTTTAAAATGGGTTTGTGATAATACTACTCACTTTACAGGGTAGTTGTGCTGATTAAATGAAATAATGTGTCAAAAGTGGTTAATAGAACACCTGGCAAATACGGAACTGCTCACACCATGTTTGTTGAAGAAAAGAATAATAAATAGAGGCAAGGGATCGTGGAGGTGGGGTTCGGGTCTGGGTATGAAAGCAAGCATGGCCCATTGGCCTGAGAGCTGCAGAAATCTGACAGCAGACCCGACAGAAGCTGCGTCTCTTTTCTATTTTCTTCTGTGTTCGGTTTTGATTGAGGCCTGGGGTTTGGCTCAGATGAAGCTCCCGTAGTCTGAGGCCGGAGGCCTGGGAAACCAACGGAGAGAGGGGAACAGGCTGGACGGGATGAAGGCCTGAGGCTGGGGTGAAGCCAAAGCAAACTGTGCAGGACAAATGAAGCGGTGGAGGCCAACACGCATTCTGCAAAAACTGTTTGCACAGCTGGAGTCAGGCTCTGGTGGGCAAAGAACCCCCCTCTGCTGGTCCTTGGGAACTTCACCTTGGGCCCCCCAAGGCCAAGACCCCAGGATCCCAGGCGCCTGCTGGTCTGTGCTTCCTGGTATCCTAGTTACTGTTCCTGCATGCATCCTTCCCCTCAAGGGTGTGGTCCCTGAGGGAGGATGCAGGCTTGATGAGCTCTGGGTCACTCTGGCTCGCAGGGGATGCAATCCCCTACTAGAAGAGAAGAAACACCCCGGACAGACCAAGGCGACACAGTGTAGTCAGGGCTGTGATGAGGACATAGAGGAGGAAGCCACAAACAGCCCAGGAGGTGGTTCCTCCCTGAGTCTTAATGATGGTGAAGCCAGGCATGGGTCTTGCAAAATCAGAGAAAGAGAGTTATTTTTCTTTCTTTTTTTAAATTTATTTTTTTATTAAATTTATTGGGGTGACATTGGTTAATATAGGTTTCAGGGATACAATTCTATAGAGAGTTATTTTTCTAAAGGAGTTCAAAAAGAAGGCAGGCTATTCCAGACACAAGGAACAGAGGGTGCAAAGGCACAGAGCATTAGAAAGCATGGTGCGTTCAAGGGAATGTCACGTCACTGCACAGAAAAGGGGGTGGAGGGTGGCTTTAGCAGCAGGAGCCAGGGAAGCTGGAGAGAGAGGCAGGGCCTGCTCGGCCAAACAACAGAGTCCAAATAAAGGGGATCATTACAGAAGCTCGATTACTATTTGTGTGTTGGATGGAAGGATGAGCAAAGAGATAAGTGGACAGGTGAAGTGTAAAATCCTCTGGGTGGGGCATAAGACCTTCGTCACCTGGCCCTGGCTCGCTCACTCCTCTACCCGATCCTGTTCCATGCCCCAGTCACATTAGACCAGGGGTCGTCAAACTACGGCCCGCAGGCCACATGCAAATACAAATATTGTATTTGTTCCCGTTTTGTTTTTTTACTTCAAAATAAGATATGTGCAGTGTGCATAGGAATTTGGTCATAGTTATTTTTTAAACTATAGTCTGGCCCTCCAACAGTCTGAGGGACAGTGAACTGGCCCCCTGTTTAAAAAGTTTGAGGACCCCTGCATTAGACAGTCCTTCCAATGCATCGTATTCTCGCTGATCTCTTTGCACTTGCTGCTGCCCCTGCATCAAATGCCCGGCCTGCCTGCTCCCTTCTGCCTGGCTTAGTCCTGTTCTTCCTTCAGGATAAAGTGTGGGCATCACCCCCACTGTCAAGTCTTCCCTGCCATCCTATTAGCACCGCCTACACAGGAATAGGTGCTTCCCTTTGGTGTCCCACCCCTAGCACAGAGCCAATGCTCAATGATTGTTTTTGGAATTCGTGGCTTTCTATCTGATTTAGCAAACACTAAAATACAGCTTACATACGGGGCACTGTCCCAAGTGCTTTGCTCATATTAACTCCTTCAATCCCCACAACAGCTGACAAGATAGGTACTATTATTGCTGCCATTTGACACATGAGAAAACTGAGCTTGCTTAAGGTCACTCAGCAGAGAGGGAGGCTGGGGACGCCCTTCTGTGGCCCTGCTCCACTGGGGCCCAGGATGATGTTGAGGTACCCAAGAGCAGCTCCAGCCGGCCAGTGTGTGAGCTCCACCACATCAGGGGCAGGACCAGGGAAGGGTCTCTAGAACGAGTCCTGAGTGAATACCCACTTTTTTTCAATGGACGCACGGAAGGACACTACACAAAGATGAGAAAAGATGCCTTGGCCCATAGTAACACCTCCTCCAGGCACATCCCTTCCCTGGTGGACCGGGCATGTACCCATACTCACTGTGGAGCAGCAGAACCCGGTCCTGGGCATCAATGGACAGCTTCAGCTGACCTAAGGGCATAACAACAGAAACAACTTCACCTTGTCTCCTTACTGGGTGAAAAGTGGAGTAACAGTGACGGGAACGGTCTTTTGTCCATGTGAAGGGATTCAAACATCCGCACAGTCTCTGGGTTGTAAGGGCGCTCAGAAGCCCCCCTCCGCCCTCCCCCCCTTCAGCCCCTTCACCACATCAGGAGTCCCTCCTGCAATGCCTCCAGCAGTGCTTCTCCGGCCCAGACTCCACCCCGCTCTAGGGACAGGGCGCTCATTACTGTACAAGGTAGCCCAAAACCAACACCGGGTCGTCCTCACAGACACCCAGAGGCCCTCCAGCATGGACAGAGGAGAGAGAGGACCACACTCTTCTTCCTCAATGACTTGTTGGAAAATCTTCTCTTAGTGCTAATAAACCCTCCTGGGAACCTCAAGAAGCTGCTGAACTCAATCTACCCATTGTGGAGGCAAAGAGGGCAGGTAGGACTTCCCAGCCTGCAGCAACCCTACACATCGACCCGATAGCCCTGGCATCTGCTCCATCCATGACAAGCCTGCCTAGTAGGCATCTGCTTCTGCTTGATCACTTCCAGCGACGAGGAGCTCACTTCCTGAAGCGGGAGCCCTTTCGATTTTGAGATAGCTCTGATTGTTCAATGCCCCATCTTTATTGAGCCAAAAGTGGCTTCTCGGTAACTTTCCTTGACTGGACCTCATTCTGCAGCACGGGATCGCTCCTCTAGGCCAAAGTCTAAAGTCCTTCCACCGTTCCTCATGGAACGTGCGACATCCCTCATCATTCCACTGCTCATCCCTGAACATGCCCCCAGGGAACTGGGATGGTGACTGGGCCTGTGCTTCAAGGCTGGTTGGAGGAAGGCCAGGCAGGGTCTGGAGAAAGGACGGAAGCTCCGTGTCTCATAACTCTGCAGTCATCCACCAGCCGCTGTGACCTGGCCACCACTTGCTCCTCACTCTTCAGGGTGTTCAAGCTACAAGCCCAGCAATCCCAGCTCCAGCTACTCTACTCGGGTTCCTATCTCCACCCATCAGCAATCCCTGCTGCTCTCCTGCCCGGGACACTGATCGCAGCAGCCCAAGAGGCCTGTCCTAGTGCCAGCGCCGACTGATCTCCTCTTTCAGAGCCACAGTGTCCAGGGCAGTGAGGCGGAGCTAATTAATTATAGGGGTTATCGCACTCTCTGAGCTGCGTGGGGATCGGATAACACTGGAGGGTGAGGCGGTCCTCGGATGAAAGGCGCCAGGAGAACCCACGGTATTATTAGCTCAAGGGCTGAGCAATTACCACTTTGGGACTCCCGAACGCTGAGAAACCTCCTACAAAAACTGTGCGTGCTCCAGTGGGGGGTGGGACAGGGAGGTTGGAGACAGACAAACAAGGCCAAGCAGTCACTGACTGGATCTCTTCACCCCAAAGACATCTATGTTTAGCACCAAACATTTTTTCTGAAACTATCACCAGTGCAAAGCCAGCTCTGGCCCGAACATGTTTGGCTTTCCAAAGGCACGAGAACCACTGTGCTGATCATTCCTATCACCTCCCCCCTGCCCTTCCCAGAAATCAGCATCGAGACATCTCCCAATGCAAGTGGTCACTAATCCCATACAACAGACACCTGTGGGCACCGGCAGAAGCCCTGAGGGAGGAAGGGCAGATCTGAACAGCCCAGTGCCTGCCCTCTGGGAGCTCACAACCCCGGGGGGCTAGGACAGAGGCCTAGGCAAGGCCAAGGGTGGGACCGAAGAGGAGGAAGTCCTGGGGTGAATCTGACTCAGCAGTCAGGTGAGTCTGCATCTCTCCATGCAGCTCCCCTCAGGGCCTGACAAGCAGGTCTCTTCAGGAAGTCTATGCACCCTGTTACAGCAGAAAAACCCAACCCAACAGATGAGGCTCCAGGCCCAGTACAGGGCACACCCTACTTAGCCCATCGCAGCTGCATAGAGAAGGGCAAGATGAAGAATGACACGATTCCCTCCACCATGCCTGTCCCCTCTGTCCTCCCCGCATCAGCCAATTCCATCAAATGTCTGAGGCTCCTGCCCTGGCTGGGTGGCTCAGTTGGTTGGAGCATCGTCCCATACACCAAAAGGTTGCAGGTTCGATTCCCGGACAGAGCACATACCTAGGTTGTGTGTTCAATCTCCAGTCAGGGCACGTATAGGAGGCAACCAATTGATGTTTCGCACATCTATGTCTCTCTCTCTCGGTGAGGAAAAAAAAATCTCTGAGGCTCCTGAAATTGTCTTGCCCAAACTTCCCATTTGGTAGTCAAAACAGGCATGCCCAGCAAAGGAAGGTGACTTGCCCTGGGCCCAGAGTGACCAGGTAGGCCAGGGGTGGGCAAACTTTTTGACTCGAGGGCCACAATGGGTTCTTAAACTGGACCGGAGGGCCGGAACAAAAGCATGGATGGAGTGTTTGTGTGAACTAATATAAATTCAAAGTAAACATCATTACATAAAAGGGTACAGTATTTTTTTTTTTTAGTTTTACTCATTTCAAACGGGCCGGATCCGGCCCGCGGGCCGTAGTTTGCCCACGGCTGAGGTAGGCCAAACCAGAAGTGAAGACTAGCACTCTGTGCCAACTCCAGCACTGTTTCCTGTGGACTGTGCCTGCCTTCTAGAACACTCACAGCCCTCCAATGGGCACCATGGCATCTGCCAGTGCAACTCTGGGGTTCAGGAGCAGACAGAGCCGTCAGGCATGAGACAATGTGCCATAGCTTTGCTCAAGAAGCCAAGAGGAAGCCAAAGAAAGGTCAGGCTCCAAGAAATGTATCCAAGTCTAGAAAAATAAATCACTAGGAGAAGGGGCCTTCAGCTGCTCCAGGTACCAGCTAATTGAGCCCCTCACAAGTTCCCGCTTTCTCCCCAGGCTCGGGACTAAAGGAACAGGAGTTGGAGATTAGGGCCTGCCCAGAGGTGGGGTCCTTCTGAGCCCCCACCTTTTGGATTGGAACCATAAAGGTTTGCTCCTTAGGAACAGAATTAGCCAAGATGAGAAACAGTTCCTCAAGGGATTGCAGCTCGACTTCAAACAATCTCAATCCCTAACATTCAACTAAGAGTATTCCAGATTGCTAGTGACCTCAAGCACCTGACAGAAGTAAAGGAAGATCTCTTTGAAGGAAGATGTCAGCTCAGGTCTACATTAAGAAGAAAAATAAAAACTCCATGCCTAGCCCCTATAATAGACACAGCACACCGAAACGCAGAGAAACAGAAAGATCTGAAAGAAACAGGATGGAAAAAGATCTGTCAAGCAACTGTGAACCAAAAGAAGGCTGGGTGGCTATGTTAATGTCAGCAAAAGTAAAATTTATCTCCACTTGTAATAAAAAAGATTTCACAACAATAAAAGACTTCATAATAATAAAAGGCTTTGTTATAATAAAAGCCTCAATTCACCAGAAAGATAATAACTCTAAATTTGTGTGCTCTTAATATTTCTTCAAAATATATAAAAGAAAAACTGACAGATATATAATGAAAAATAGACAAAATTACAATTATAGTAGGAATTTTAACATGTCTCTCTGTAACTGATAGAACAAATGGGGGGGGGGGGAATCAGCAAGGATATAAAATATTTGAACAACATAATTAACAAACTTGACCTAAAGCTGACATCTACAAAGAACCCTACACCCACCCACTGCAGATCTTTTCAAGTACATACGGAACATTCCTAAAAACTGACCATGTGCTGAGCCATAGAAAGACTGAAAGGTTGCAGGGCATTTTTTTGTGTGTAAAATACTGTATAAGATATAAAATAAAAAGATTACTAGAAAACCCCCAATCTTTGGAAATTAAGAACTATACTTCTAAATAACCCATGGGTTCAAGAAGAAATGACTATGAAAATTGGAAAATATTTTGAACAGAATAAAAAGAAAAGAAAGCTACATATCCTCAAACATGAGGCTTCTGGAAAAGGAACTTGTATCTAGAATATGTAAAGAAATCTTAAAACTCAACAATTAGAAGGCAAATAGCCCAATTTAAAAAATGGGCATGGGATCTAATTAAACTTTTCTCCAGAGAAGATATACAAATAGCCAATAAGTACATGAAAGCTGTTCAATATCACTGATCATCAGGGAAATGCAAATCAAAACCACAAGGAGATACCACTTTACACCCACAGGATTGCTAGAATCAAAGTCAGTTAATAGCAGGTGTTGGTGAGGTTGTGGAGAAATCAAAGACCTCAGACACTGCTGATGAGAATGGAAAATGGTGCATCCTCTTTGGAAACGAGTTTGGCAGTTCCTCAAGCAGTTAAACCTAGAGCTACCATTTGACCCAGCAATTCTGCTCCTAGGTATGTACCCAAAAGAATTGAGAACATTTGTCCACACAAAATCATGTACAGTTATAAAAGAGCATTATTCATAACAGCCAAAAGACAGAAATAATCCAAATGTCCACCAACTAATGAATGAATAAACAAAATGTGCTCTACCTCTACAGTGGAATATTATTCAGACATAAAAAATGAGAGTGCCCTCGGCGGTCCCAGATCTGTCTCTTGCTTCACAGTGTTTGGACAGAGCAGACCCAGGGACGCCCTTCTTCCAGCCTCCAGCCACTCTCCTGCGCCTCATCCAGTCACCACCTTCAGAACCACCTCTGGTTCTCAAGCCAACACACCGGTTTTTGTTTTTGTTTTTCGTACCTTAACTCCTTATTGCCGAACAACCATGAGCTCCCAAATTCGTCAGAATTATTCCACCGAGGTGGAAGCTGCAGTCAACCGCCTGGCCAGCCTGCATCTGCGGGCCTCCTACACCTCCTCTCTCTGGGCTTCTATTTTGACCCAGAAGATGTGCCCCCGAGGGCGTGGGCCACTTCTTCCTCAAGTTGGTGGAGAAGAAGGGCGAGGACGCTGAGCGTCTCTTAAAGTTCCAAAACAAGCGCGGTGGCCGCATTCTCTTCCAGGATGTGCTGAAGCCTCCCCAGATGAGTGGGCAAAACTCAGGAAGCCATGGAGGCCA